TGACTTTGACTTTGCCACGTGGATGGGTAGAATTTTGCAAATAGGACATGTTAGTCTATTCACAAGGGGATTTGCTAGGCTCATCACTAAGTTGAGCTGACTCAATGGCAGAAATTTGGGAATCTAATTACAAGAAAGAAGAAGCAGAGAGTGCAGGTGCACATCCTATGGGGTCTGAGATTCCTGAGTCAGTCAGACTGGAGGAAGCCAAGAGAAGATTACAACCAGTAGCCACAGCAGAGAACCAGAATCTGACATGAGAAAGAGCAGACAATGGGAATGCTGCCCCACAGAGCCAAAGCCAACACCCTCCACCCAAGCTTCCTGCAGGACTTGTGGGGGAAACTCCTGAATTGGCAGGACTAAGAAAGCTTCATAACATTAGCCTAAAGTCACCAGGCCAAAGGCTGAAGGGCCTGTGAGCACACCTCAGAAGCTATCCTGACTCAGAAACTGTTTCCTGTTGCCACCCTGAATTGTAAACTGCTAACTTCCCTAATAAATCTCATAAGGGTGAGTACGGTTCTGCAAAGTCTATGCTGTTATTTCAACAGATTTTGGACCTAGTAGGAGAGTAAGACTGGTATCAGAAATAGGCATGTGAGTGTGGGGGACATATCTGACCTTATAAGCATTAATTTTGCACTGTGGATGTTGTTGATGGAGGCAGACCCCCCTTGTGGAACTAGCAGAGGTCAGTCTTGGCTGTCCCTACTCTGTCTTACACTGTTATTTTACAAGAGCACAGACAAACTTATTTGTTTATGTATTGACATATTTCAGTTAGCAGATGCTGCCATGGACGTGCTCACCAAATTGTGCCAAGAAATCTGGAGAACGACCACTTGGCCAACTGACTGCAAGAGATCGATATTTGTTCCTATCCCCCAAAAAGGTGACCCAACAGAATGTGGAAACTACAGAACAATCTCACTGATTTCACATGCAAGCAAAATTTTACTGAAGATTATCCAAAAATGACTGGAACAGCACATCAACAGACAACTACCAGAAGTCCAGGCTGGGTTTAGAAGGAGTCGTGGTACTAGAGATATTGCAGCTGATGTTAGATGGATCTTGGCTGAAAGCAGGGAATACCAGAGGAATGTCTATCTGTGTTTCATTGACTATGCAAAGGCATTTGACTGTGTAGATCATAACAAACTGTGGCTGACTCTGAGAAGAATGAGAATCCCAGAACACTTGATCGTTCTAATGCGAAACTTATACTTGGACCAGGAGTCAGTCGTCAGAACAGAGCAAGGGAACACTGCATGGTTCAAAATTGGGAAGGGCGTATGCCAGGGATGCATCCTATCTCCATACCTTTTCAACCTATATGCAGAACAGATTATCCGGGAGGCTGGGCTCTATGAGGAGAAATGTGGGGTTAAGATTGGTGGACGATTTATCAACAACCTGCGTTATGCGGATGACACAACCCTGCTTGCTGAAACTGAAGAGGACCTGATGCGCCTGCTGCAGAGTGTCAAGGACTGCAGCCTACAATATGGATTGAGGTTCAATGTCAAGAAGACAAAGATTCTCACCACTGGACCAATTGACAGCATCAGGATGGATGGTGAAGAGACTGAGATTGTACACAGCTTTAGTTTGCTTGGCTCCACAGTCAACAGTCTTGACACCAGCAGCCAGGAAATTAAAAGGCGCATCGCAATGGGAAAGTCTGCTGTTAGGGACCTCTCCAAAGTGCTGAAGAGCAATGGTGTCTCTTTGGAGACTAAGGTGCATCTGATACAGGCCATGGTCTTCGCAATCACCTGTTATGCATCAGAGAGTTGGACAATGACCAAGGAGGATAGAAGAGGAATTGATGCCTTTGAGCTGTGGTGCTGGAGAAAAGTATTGAGAATACCATGGACTGCTAGGAAAACAAACAGATTTGTCCTGGAAAGGGTTAAACTGGGTGGCTCCTTGGAGGCAAGGATTCTGAGGCTCCATTTAACATACTTTGGACATGTTGTGAGGAGAGACCAGTCCTTGGAGAGGGACATCATGCTTGGGAGGGTGGAGGGACAGCGCAGGAGAGGAAGGCCCTCTATGAGGTGGATTGATTCAGTGACTGGGATAATTGGGATGGGAGTGTCGGAGACAGTGCGATTGGCACAGGACAGAGCGGAGTTTAGGGCTGTTGTACATAGGGTCGCTTTGAGTCACAGGCGACTCGACGGCACATAACAACAACAACAACAACATTATCTATAGATACCTTCAATTTATGACTGTAGAGTTGAATTGTTGCAAAAAAAAAATCTGTGTGGTCTGTAAAACCAATATATTTAATATCTTAGATTTCAGAGAGAAAGTCTGCTGGCCCTGGCTCTAGAAAAAAAAAATTTAAATACCTCTTCTTTATTGTGTAACATGACTGATTGACTATAAGCAATTATGTGTGTAATATATGTATAAGAACAGCATTATTCACAATAGCAAGAAAATGGAAACAGCCCAAATGTCCATTAACAAATGAATGAACTGAGAAATTATGTACATTCACACGATGGAATACTATGTAGCACCTAGGAATAACAATTTAATAAAATAATATATAACATGGTAAAGTCTAGAGAGCATTATGCTGGGTAAATGAATTCAATTTAATAAGGACAAATATTGCATAAGGCTACTATTATAAAAATAGAAGGATAATTATTAGGATGTATGTAAATGCCCAAAAGTGGAAGGGGAAAGGAAAGTGGGATGGGAATATGGGAGCAGTGGAAATCACTAGGACAGCGGAGTTTGGTTGGCAGGTTAGTGGGGTGAAGGAAAAAGAAAGATTTAATGAGAACTTGAGAAGATGGGGTAATAATAGGCATACACCAAGGGTGATTAATAATACAGAATACAATGTATATGAATGATTGTATGAAACATAAGTGAATGTATAAAACATAGTATACACAAATGAAACAATTTATAAGGATTATTGTATGCAAACCAATAAAAAATAAGTAGAAGGGAATATTACATGGCTTAAAATCAGGAAAGATATCTGTATGTTGAGCAAATCATTCAAGAAACTGGATTGAAATGAGGATAAATGTGGCAACAGCAACTTGTGTTATGAAGATATAGTCTTGCTTGCAGAAAGTGAAGAAGACTTGAAATACTTATTACAGAAGATCAAGGACTATAGTCTTCAATGTGGGTTATAGCTGTGTTGTCAGAAACCCTGATAATTGGCTTTCCTAGCCCCCACCAGGGGAATGTCTCAAGTTATCTTAACTGCAGACATGTGGTCTTGAAAATAATCAACAGCTATGGGACCAATATAAAGAGCACTCTCCACACTGTGGGTTATATGAAAACACCAACACAAGAGTGGCAGCATAACAGTTAATTTAGCCCAAGCCTGCTGGAGGACGAAAAGTTGTCAGGACTGAGATATCGTAAATGGTGGACTAAGCATCAAGATGCATCCAGCCCAGCCCACTGCTCACTAGTTTCTGCAAAAACTGGCCTGTATACCTATAGTCATGTGAGTAATTCCTCTGACACCTCCTGAGTCTCAGGAGGACCTTTTAGTAAATCACAGAACCCAAGGGACATTGAGGAATTGGGACACTGAGCCACAGATGGAGATGTTAATGTTAGAAATTATAGACTCAAACAGCTGGCTAAGTATTTGGGAATACGTTGACTTGAAATTTCTTATAACTAGTCTTTTATTAATCTTAGCAGAACACATAATAAAAACACACACATCTTCGCATCAAGAAAACAAAATTCCTCACCACTAGGCCAAAAGGAAACATTATGATAGATGGAGAGAAGATTTAAGTTGTAGACGATTCCATTTTACTTGGATCTACAATCAACAGTCAATAGTAGCAAAAGTCAAGAAATCAAAAGATACTTTCCATTGGAAAAAGCTGCCGTCAAAGACCTTTCCAAAGTGGGTCAATTTAAAGACTACGATGTGCCTGATCTAAGCCAAGGTCCTTTCAATTACTTTTTATGCAAATGAAAACTGGACAGCGAATAAGGATAATAAGAGAAGGATCGAGACCTTTTAGTTATGCTGTTGGAGAAGAGTACTGACTATTGCAAGGACTGCCAAATTTTGTCTTGGAGGAAGTGCGGCGAGGGTGATCTTTAGATGAAGGGATAATAAAATTTTGTCTCATCTACTCTGAGGTGGATTGATTCCGTGACTGGAGTAATTGAGGTGAGGGTCTTGAAGACAGTGTGATTGGCACAGGACAGAGCAGAGTTTAGGGCTGTTGTACACAGGGTCACTATGAGTCGCAAGTGACTGGACGGCACATAACAACAACAACAACAACAACAACAACAACATCTAATTAGAGCAATTATGAGCCAGATTTTAAAAAGGATATCACACTGGAAGAGTAGAGGGTAAGAGAGAGAAAGACTCCTAAAAAAGATACACACAGCGACTTTTTGTTGTTGTTGTTGTTGTTGTTATGGGTGTTTTAATTACATTTTTACTGATATTGGAAATATTTAATAAACAATGAGTTGCAAACTTTCAAAAAGCATATGTCTTTATTAATGATTTTTGTAATAACTTCGTGTGACTTTGCAGAAATTTGAATTACATTTTTTTATAGTGACACTTCTGGCTATTACATGAATTAACCACTTCTGTAGAGTTGATTCAAACTTACAAAACCCTCCATTGAGTTTCTAACGTTGTAAATCTTTTCAAGAGATGACTGCTCTAACACAGTAGCTGGATGTTTTACAGTGTCTTTTAAGGGTTTAAGGATTTCAAAGACTGTGAGGATGGGCTGGAACAGGGCAAGGTTCAGAATTGTTATTTAGAGGGTCATTATGAGTGGTACGCAACTATCATTCAAAGTGACATCTAAGCACAACAACAAGAGGCGTGTGTGTGTGTGTGTGTGTGTGTGTTATATAAAGTACTCTATCTGATTAATGTCCAGGAAAACACAATATTCTGTAGCATTATGACTACATGATAGTTCTGAGGACTACTACACCATAGTTACCTGTACTCTGTCTTCAAATAATGGTTAGCCCGTTCCAAACATGTGATTAAATCTGTCATAAATAAAAATAATTGCAATTAGCAAACTGAATGGAAGTTAAGAGACTCATGTGCTAAGTTTCTCTTTAAAAATGAACATTTAAAAATTACTCATTCAGGACCTAGTTACCTAAATTTTCCTGTTTAAAAAGAAATCAAAACTGTTTCAATGTATCTCCAGTGTTTAATCATTTCCTCGTCTCCCTTCTCTTCTACCAATGATGGTTTTTCAGTGGTGGATCAGGATATACTCACGCAATCTATTTCCAAAAGCAAAACCAACACTGTTTAATTACTATCTGCTACTTACCTACAATGCCTGTGTGTATAACTTCCCCCGCCAGGAGTAAACAACTTCAAAAGCCAAATGCGCTTCATAAAAAGGTTGCAGAAACATTTTAATTTAACAATTTAGCCAGTGGGATTTGAGTCACCATAGGAGCCAAGGACCTATTTTTTTTTTTTTTTTTTACTGAGGCAAGTATATTATCTTTGATTCATCAGGAATAGGCAATTAAGAAAAGGGTGCACTGTGTATAGAAATGGGGAAGCTAAAACACTATTTCTTTCCTTTAGCTTCTTAACAGTTTACTGGAAGCAGTGTACAGTGAACGCTGACCATACAGAGCCTTCTGGGAATTGCCAGTTCAGACAGGCTGAGGGAACTGAACAGTTTGTTCTCTCCAGAGTACTTCTGCCATAAGGCACTGAGAACAGAAACTGGGGATGCCTCTCTTCCGAGAGCCGCTGAACAAACATGCCAAGCACTACAGTAACTACAATGTGGAAAAGAGGTCTGGACATGTGGCCACACTGTACTCTCATCAGCTTCCATACTCCCTTCTTAAGGTCCTCCACCATAATTAGGCCATTGTGCTGCAGTGTCCTCTTCATCCTTCTAATAATGTATGTCCTTCCCAGGTAGACACAGTAGGGGAAGGATTACTGTTAAAAGATCTGGCCTCCAAGATTATTAGGGGAAATGAAGGAGTCCAGTGAATTTCCAGGCCTCAAAAGAAGTCAAGGTGGTGGTCCCAAAAATGTGTTATAAAAGATCCTTCAGAAAACACAATCTTCCCTATCATACATAAGTCAGTTGGCCAATCTAATATTTGGAAAATTATTTTATAATCTGATAATTATTAACTTATTCCATTATGATTGATCTCGATACAATGATGCTGAACTCCTCTCTTCCTTCACATCTTACTTTTCTATGTGAGGTCATAATTCTCTCCAGAGATGAAAACAGGTGGCAAGAGGAATTCTTACAGTTAAAGGTTCAAAGATTTGTGTGGGCTCTTCTAGTATACCTGGATGGTCGCTGCTGGCATAAGTCAACAGAAAACCCCTCCCAGAAATGTGGGCTCCACTCTCAAAGCGAATAGTTACTTCACTGGTATTCAGCAAGAGTTCTTTGGGAACAGCCATGCTTCCTTTACAATATGGACCTAAAAACAAAGCACACTTATGGCATATTTCAAAATTCAGACCAGAAAAAAAAATATCTTGGTATATGGCATGCTCTCTTTTCTAATCTTTACCCAAATGAAAATTTTGTTATATGAAGACTGATAATCAGTGACAGGTATGACTTAACAAAATATATCTAGGAGCTTATTACTGTAAATAAGCAGTAAAATGCAATTACTTAACTGAGTTAGTCAAATGACAGGTTTCATTTTTAACAAAAAGAATACTATCAAAGGGCAAATATATCAGTCAATAAAGAATATTTTGTTATAAAAATGAAATTCTGGGACATCCTAAATTTGTTAAAAGAAACTCTGGGGTTTTGTTTTTTTTTCACTTTTAAGAGAGCTCCAGAATTAAGATTAAAAATGTCCAATGCATAATAAAGATCTTATTGTCATGCAGTTTACAAATTCATGTCTTGCTTACAGTAACTTGTGATTAAAATATATAATTATCTTAATTTTTAAAATAAGGTTAAAACAAAACCAGAATGATTTTTTAAATGCATTGACTGCAGTATCATTATTATAAATTATACAGTGAAGATTATAACACTATTCCTAGAAGAACTGTTTTGAAAAGAAACAGGAAACTCAAAGGCCTTTTAAAAAATAAAATTAGATTTGGTACAAAAAACAAGCAACCTTCCTTCCAAAAATATTCAAGTTGAAATATAGTTTATAAACTTCTGTCTTGAAAATCACATATGGAAAACAAACATCTGTTAAAATGGTCAAAATGCCAAAAGTTTTTGTAATTTATATTTTACCACAACAAACTTTAAGATTATAATATTAATAATTTCTATGAAAATAGGAAATTGCATGCAAATTGTCTAAGACTTATTCTTTTTTTAAATTACACTAGTTTATTAACAAAATTCAAATACATTGTTTTCCAAAACAGATATTTCCAATTTCTCTCACCCTCCCAACATATCAAATTGTACAACTTTATGACTTACTCTTCATCAATTTCTCCTAAAATGAAATAATATGGAAATAGTCAACAGTATTGTTTTTTTTTTAATTTTTATTTTTTTTAAATTTAGTTTGTT